CGAGTCATCCTGAATCAATTCTGAATTGTGTTAGTTCGATATCAACACTAACACAAAGAACTTTAAACTGAGCTCTTCAATCAAGTCCAAACACTTCTCATCCGTGCTAGATGGATACTCATCTCGAGCGTATCTGTTTTATTATTTCGATTAACAATCATGCTTAACAATGCGATTAAAATAATATATTTCGTTGTGACATATGTCGATACGATTTCAATATAGCCTACAGTAGCTGGGGTGATAAAAGTGTAGATATCATAGTCTTCTTTTTATCACAAAATAAAACGATAATCCTAAATCTAAATTGTACTTTTTGTATGTTACAAAATTCCGAGGTCGAATTTAAATGATCCGTTATTTCTCCACGTTTTCGATCAGGTATCGGAGAATGTATTTGATAAAAAATAAAATCAAATATAGTTATCATTATTTTCTACGCTATTGCATATCGTTAGATGCGATTTTATTGGTTTCGACGATAAAAATTAAATGTATAGGTACCTAATAATCCATCGAAGATTATCTCACTTCGTTAATCAAGCTTTCAGTCGGGTTTCGAACAGAACAATTCGAACAGAACATTTAACGTTTTTTATCTACATTATTTTTTATTTCTACGCAACATTAGATAGTTCACTTTACGTAATAGATCTACGTAATTTTGTCAGTACATGGAAAAAAATGTATCACTATTTATGAGTCCAATCTTAGAAATGGGCCAATGGGTAGATAATAATGATCTATATAATTCTTCACAAACGTATGTGTGTTCTAGTTTATTTTTATCATCAACTAATTCCAAGAAAGTCGAATATTCGATGAAACTGCTACCGAATCCGAGAAACATTTGATAGTGGAATTTATCGAAAGAAGTTTAACAAGACTAATACCTTTCGTGTTTACAGAACTTTTTGCGAATAAAAATTGCTTATTGATCGAGAAAACAATACGAGAATGTGTGTTGATATGGAAACAAGGTCAGACGATATTTACATTCTCGTGCATGAATTTGTATCATTATCATCTCCGTTATCTTCTATCCATCCTCAAAGTCATTTTTACTTATCAATAAACAGACAAATTTTAGGACTTTGGAAATAAAGAAAAAGAGACTCTCTCGCACGCGTTAGGAAACAAATAGAAGCACCACCACCACCACTACCACCACGCTCTTATGTAGTCAACGGTTAAAAGGGGGAAATCATTGAAAAAGAAAGAAAGAAAGAAAGAAAGAAAGAAAGAGAGAACACGAGGCAGATAAACGCGTCGAAAGAGTTGGGTCCTTATCTGTAAAGGCCGACATCCGCCGGATCAGCTCGAGATACCGAAACCACCCACACTTTCCTTCTTCTTCATACACCCTTCCTTCTCTTTTACGCTCTTCGAACTTGATGCTTTAATTAATCTCTTATTTTTTCATCAATGAGCGTATATACGAATACGTTTAAAATGACAATACTATATGACGGTAACGGTGTAACGGTGTAACGGTGTAACGGTGTAACAGTGTAACGGTGAAGATATGGCGATGATAGACAAAGTTAAAGTTAAAATAGCAAGCGAAAAATATGGCTAACACGTCTCGTCTTTGACCGAGGCTTCGTTATACCAACCGGCTGATTCGATTTCGAGAGATTATAGGCAGTATCGTCTTAGATTACCTAGTCACGAAGACGAAGAAGAAACCTTAGGATCGAGGTCCCACGCGTACTGCGACTTTTTTCTCTTTTACTCATTTGCATGATACTTTTCTCTAATTGGGAACTACATTTAATCAAAATAGAAACTAGAACTCAATGAAATTAAATAGATTTCAGAGCTCGAGAATAATGTAGAAAAACAATAATAAGTTTCTATGTAATCAATTACATTTTATATAAATGGCATAAGAAAATATTTATGCGATTATAGAGAAAAAGATATTTAAATGTAATAAATAATGAGATAAGCGAGTAAAAGATTGTAGAAAATTAGATTCACGTGTTTGAACATTTCGCAATCTTTCTTTCATCACTGGTTTTACGTCTCTCGTCATTTCAGAATCGATCTTTTAAATAATCTCCATAGCCAGCCACGAGAGTGGGACTAATCCCTAAGAGTATCGGCCGTTTAAAAGATAAGCTAGTTCAAAGCATATTGGTATACCGCCATATTAATTCTATAAATAACACTTGCTAGTAACCATCCATAGATAATCGCGCTCGGTTCAACGTTTTCCCCTTCTTTCTTATTAGTGATTTAGGAAGACTACGAGCTAATCTAACCGACAAAAGAAATAATCTACCTTATGCGGAAACTGAAGAACGAAGAATTCCACTCGCTCCCATTTAGAAGAAGAAGCCATTATCTTTGGGGATGGGCCACCGCAAACTCGGCCGCGGGGTTGTCGAAAAATATGTTCCAACTTTTTATCTCACATCCGTGAAGCAGCACCGAGAGTGCTGAATGCGACCAGGGAGCCGTTAATTTATCAGCAAAACAGTCAAAAAGAAATAGAAAAAAAGTCGCTGAGAGAGAGAAAGAGAGAGAGAGAGAGAGCACCACTCGTTCTTCCATTTTACGTTTATCGAATAAAAGACAAATGGGGAAGGAAGAAAAAAAAGAATCGATTAGTTTTGCCGTTACTCTCTCTCTCTCTCTCTCTCTCTCTCTCTCTCTCTTAGCCGGAAGTGCGTGTTTGAAAATAATGCGACCGTTTCGCGGTTTTAATTGAATATTTAATAAATCGCAAATATAATGCGCGTTGTGTGCGCGGTGTGTACGCGCCGTGTGCGCGGAGATTTAATTAAATTTTAATCGCCTTAATTAATTCCATTACAAAATTATGCGCGCGCTTACCTCTCTCTCTCTCTCTCTCTCTCTCTCTCTCTCTCTCTCTCTCTGCCCCCTTCTTTATGGTTTCTCTTCTCGCATCCTCACCTACCGATCGCGGCCCGTTCACGGATAATTCCCTAATTTTGCGTTATGCTCGTCGCGTGGAACACATGCCCACGCGATATTCTACACGGATTTTCTCTATTTTCCAATCTTCTTTTTCCCTTCCGGTTAAAGTTTCCACGGTAATCGATGACAAAAGGGGAAAAGAGAGACTAAATTAAATGTTACAAATGTTAACAAGAATAAATGATATTGCACAAGTAATACTTAAAATTAAATTTCCAAGTTGTAAAAATGTGGATCTTAATGATTGGCCCAGAAAAATAAAAAGAAAAATAAAGAACATTACTGTATGAAACTCTGTCTGGTTTTGATCTTTTCTTATTCTTTTTCTTCTATCTTTTTTTTCTGGGAGGGTCCTCCCGATGAATCTTATCATCTAACATGAACTGTCAGAGACGAGAAGGTTACTTGACGCTTCTTCCGACGTGGCAGTTCCTTCCTCTCCGTTAGCGAGCCGAACGGGGAGATAACCGGAAGTTAGATAGGACCTGCACCAGAAATGAGAAATGTCTTTGCCGTTGCAGAGATTAAAGATTTCGGGATGAGTTTGCTGCCACTTTCTTTCCGTCTTCCCCTTCTTTTGGACTTTCCTTTTCACGATCATTCGTCTTTTAAGGCAACAACTTTTTAGACAACTCGACCTTATTCCTTCATTTATAAATTGTATCATTAATTAAGATTATCAAGCAGCTGATCGTTAACTAACAGATAATAAACTTATCTGAGCGAGGAGGGAAGAGAAAAGTAAATATTATATAAGAAGAAAGATTAGAGCAAGCAGCATTTGATTGGTAGTTATTAGATTGCATCATAAGGAACGAAGTGCAATTTATTTAAGCAATTTTTGCTTAAATAAGCAACCACTATGAGAATAAAGGTAGTAAGATCGTTCTTTAACAGGACAAGTCACGTGAATCGTAAGACACGAAAGGTTGCTAATAAACAGACCGCGTAATACGGTCTACCGCGACTAAACCCTGTGGCGTAAAAGCCCACCTTAAACCAGCTGATCCCGGTACAAAGACGACGCAAGGACCAGGCACCTTAATGAAAACTGTACGTCCCTGGATTAAGGTGGCCACCGGTCAGCCTACAGCATCCCTCTAGGTACGACCTGTCTTATGCAATGTAGGGTGTACATGAGAGAGAGAGAAAGAGAGAGAGAGAAAGTGGAAGACCTTCTCTATGATGTCCAACCATATTAGATGGAAGTTTAGAGGCATTAATATCTAATATAGTGGCGCCAGGTAGTAAATCCTTTCTCGGTTATCTTCGCTGAAGACTTAGCACCTTGCATCGAGGAGCCATTGGCCATCAATCTACCTGTCTCGAGCTCCCTCGGCTCTTTATTTATTGACCTTAGTCGTTTAATATCGATTGTGAATAAGTTACACGTAAAAAGAGAGAGTGAGAGAGAGAGAGAGTGAGAGAGAGAGAGAGAGAATGCTGAGAGCTGCTGTTGCTGCTTCTTCATCATTAAATGTAAGAAAAGGAGAAACGACCAAATGAAATTGGCATTTAACGAGCATTTAGGATAATCAAAATCTACGAACATTGAAAGCATACTTTAAGAGATTTGGTATTATGCGAATTGGACCTGGTAAAGCACTGTTTTCCATCTCTTATTCCTTTTCATCCTTTCTTTCTCTAGATCTCTGTTTCTCTCTATCTCCATTTTCTCGGTTTCGGAGAAATCTGGGATTATGATCTGAAGTGGGATAGAGACTCCGGGACTTAAGTCAGGGTTACACAAGGATCGTAGCTATTGTGCCATCGCCCAGCTTCCATTGTCTCGGGTTAGACGAGTGGATCTGCATATGCTTAACATCGGAGTTAGACAGCTCTCGGCGATCTTCAACTCCGCGAATCATCTCAAATATCATGCTTCTCTAACATCGAAGTCGATGCCCATTGTACTGTTAGAAACGTCTCGGTGTCAGGGTAACCAAGATGAATTACCAACGCGGCTTTTCCTTTTATCCTATATTTGTCTTAATTTTTTCTTTTTTACTTTTTTCTTCAGTCTCTAATCGACTTTTCAATGTTCTTTGTTCCAGCTAAAAATCTACCAGTTCACTGCATCGTCGAAACGATTCATAACATCGTTGAGAGTCATGCAAGCAATGCCCGGGAGAATTGGCGAAGACCTCAAATCGAGACCGATTCTTATGTAATCATTCCAGTTGCAATGCCCTTTCAGGTAATTTCATAACGTTCATGTAATATTTCGTATATTTCATATATGATTTGATTTGAATATTTATTGTTTCAGGATTTAGTGGGAGAGGCATTGGTTCGGCTGGGTTATTCGAGCGATTTAATACCCAGCGCAAGAGGTAGCATAGAGATAAGAAACTGGAAACCTCTACCAATGGAAAAAGTAGCGGAAGGTCCACTTTTAACAGTTGGCGACATCCTTGCTGAACTTACTTCGGTAGCAACCTTGAAGATTCAGGTTTACAGATCGAGACCACCACCTCCTAGTCCCGCAGCCGAAGTTAGAAACAAATTGCTTAGGCTACTTTTACTTCATAGCCACGCTCTTCTCGTTTCTGCGGGATGTCCTTTGGACGAGGTAAGAAATCTAACCATAAGTCTTTTTCGTTAAATAAATTCTTTAAGAAGAGAGAGAGAGAGAGAGAGAGAGAAAGAGAAAAAGACAAAACGATTCTCAAGGTCGACTTGTAAAGAGCCACCACAAGGAGCACTTAAAAATGTATAAAATGTAAATCTAGCCCGAAGAGTGTTTGCCTTGGTAGCTCTTTAATCTCATTAAGAAGTCCTCCTCTTTGGTACTCTTGTTCCTTCTTGGTAGAAGTACGACGCTGGTAATCTTCGTCGTTGCTGTTGGTGTCTCGCACCCGGCTGATCCTCGCCTTAAATAAATGTTCTCTCGGTTTCGTGTCGCCAATCGAAAATTTAACTCTATAAAAAGCCCTCTGACCCTCTTTTCTTTTACTTTCGAAAAAAAAACGATCACGAGTACTTTGCCAACCTATTGAATATACATGGATCTCCAAAGAAAAAGCGTTGTAATTCTTGCAAGAAGTAGACGAAACTAGATCGATGCCAAAGAAAATTGTCTCCCTTTTCTTCCAACTTTCCATATTTTTTCTATTTTTTCCAATAACGAAAACGATGATCCACGATACGTCAACTGGAAAAGGAGAACGTTTCGCGATCGTGCTTTACCGACAGTATAAGATCTTATAGCATGTGATAGGATTACCCTTTACTCAACCAAATTCGCAGCCTTCATCAAAAGCCCCTTCGATATCGGCACAGGGTAGCCACCCTTCTCTCCCACTCTCTCTCTCTCTCTCTCTCTCTCTCTCTCTTTCGCTTACTTGACGAACTGGTATTATCTAAGTGCACTCTCTTTGAAGATCCTGCTACCACCCGCCGCCCATCCCCGAACTTTAATGCCGCTCGCGGTGGTCTATGATTACCAATTTTCTCTGGCAGACGTTACTCGCTCGTATTTCAGCCCGTCGGCTAATGGCGAACCTTCGTCTCTCATAGATTTGCTTTAATCTGACAATGATTCCTACTCGAAGATTCATTGACTAAAAGACGTTTGATTCCACCTCCAATTTCGACCTATCATTTTGATCTTTACTCCAGTAGAATATGTTGAAAAATTCATTCATTCATTAAAATTATATTTAGTATTATCAAGATTTATTGATTTTCAATCAAAAACTTCGAGTCTCTAACCTAACATCGTCTTTGTTCGCAATTTCACTTATCCTAAAGAATTATATTGAACATCTTTATTGCCCGCGCATATAAGATTATTTTTTACCAAAATTAAAAACAGACGTATCATCTTCGAGGAAATTTTCCAGGCACTTTCGTAAGCCTTCGGAACCGTCGTGTAAAGTAAATCGCGTTAGCCCTCGAAAGATGCTTATTGTTGACAAAATTACGAATTCGTTCTTCGTACGTGTGTTTGTTCGTGGATTTAAAAGCGATTGATTTACTACTGGCCCCGTACCTCGGGGAGATCAGCTGACAGACATCATCTACTGCGTCATCCTTCGCGAATAATAAATACGTGTAAATCAGGCTCGAAGAGAAGCGCAGCTACTCGTAGAGTCTCAGATAAGCCACTCTGTACGTTTTTGAACGACGACGACGACGACGACAACCACAACGACAACGACAACGACAACGACAACGACAACGACGATAACTGTTTACCGAACGATTTCTCAAATCTTCTTGAGAGAAGTTTACGTCGACTGTCTGGCCAATGACGCCTTTGCACTTACTTACACCGCTTTAACCTGACTGAATGATTAAGTGCGCCGTTATAAAACTCACGGATGAAGATTCAATGTTGCTGTCAGTTTGTAATAACGGATTAAAGATACGTCGTTAAATGTCTACTTTAATTACAAGGTTAATTATTCTCCCATCTCCTTACTTCTTTTTTTTTTTTTTCTAACTGCTCGAACAAACACACGTTTTCATGATGTACCTACCGGTAATATAAATGTATATGCATATATTCGTTCTTGAGAAAATTAATTTCAAATATTTATTATTCTTTAGTATCTACTTAAATAATTGTAATAGATCTGACACGGAGCAACTATGGAAATGTTTAAAATGTTTTTTTCTACATAATCGTCATTCTTGAAATCCTTGATTACGAACAATACATAATTGAAGAATTTCTTGATAAAAAAGTCACTTGAAATTATGACCCTCGTGTGTTACGTAATATTCATATCGCAAATGTAAACTTGGAGACGTTGTACTTGGGCGAATAGTTCACACCGAACGGAGCAAGGCCGTGCACAATTCTTAGCTACTTGATTGATATATCAATCCGACTTTAAGTGTTAGCGAACAAGTATCGCTGAATCATGTCGAAAGAAACATTATAAATCACGTTCAACGCGAACGCTTTTAAACAATATTTGTTTTTTCAAAAGAAAAAAAGAAACATGAGAGATAGGTCATAATAAATTGCGATTTAAGATCAATTGGATCGTTAGGATTTGTAACGATGTGAAATGAAATGACGACGAGTCGAGGAGATGAGATTACCTCAGTTTATTAAGACCTCGTCGAGCTGCTTGATCCTCATTTCGCGGAGCATGTTTGTTCTTATAAATCATCCCACAGATAAGGCACACTCTCCGTACTACTTCCTACGACTCCGAACTTTTCCATAATCTGACTACTTAATGCCCGATGACGGTGAGCGCCATCCTCGGGGACGGCTATCGGCGCTGTGCAACGCCCACTTGTGTCAACACGATTAAAAGAAGACACGCGCGTGCCAGGATCTTACGCGATTCAACTTCCTATCGATCACTCATATGTCCTTGCGATAATCAATCCTCCTCCCCTGGTTAAACAAGTTCTCTCATTATAATTGCATCGTGTCTTCAATAATAAAATTGTCAATTTTGTATATACTTGGAAGTCTAATCTTGCACTCGTTTAATCCAAGTAAAACAGGAATAGCAGGTAATTTCAAGAGGATTCCCATTTTGCCGTAGATGACACTGTTGTCGCTCTGCAGAGGCTGCAATGATCTCTCCGAGGAGACCAAGAGGAATTTTGAGTCTTGGCTACAGCAACAACAATTGGGTCTTGGTCTTAATCCGATCGTACCATCCTCGAATCATCATCATCATCATACTCAAAGTCCTCAACCAGATGGTAGCGGACCGATCGGTGCTGCGACCGGCCCAATTGGACCACCGCATCCAGCACTTTTACAATACTCTCATAAAACGCGTATGAGAACTAGCTTCGATCCTGAACTCGAATTGCCGAGACTTCAACGTTGGTTCGGGGAGAATCAACATCCAACTCGACAACAAATACAACATTACGTGACGGAATTAAATTCCTTGGAGTCGCGACGAGGTAGAAAACCATTAGACGTGAACAACGTGGTTTATTGGTTTAAAAACGCAAGGGCTGCTCAAAAAAGAGCCGAGACCAGAGGTGTCAACGGTTACAGTCCACCAGGATTGAGTCCAAGAGGCGCTAGCATCGTTAGCGAAGATTGTTCTGACGAGGAAGAGGACTCCAGGCATCAGGTATACAATGTTCATTAGATATATTACAATATGTGTGAGCATTTAATTATAACTTTCTTTTTATATTACTTCGCGATGAGAATCTTTTTGGTTTGTTTGGGTTTGTAGTTAACAATCCTTAGGTTCTATAATGAATTAGCTCGGGCCCGAGTCTGGTCGGTTCGTTCTGGAACGATGAATTTACGATCATTTCTAACAGCCTCTATTAAAAGCCGGCTTCTCATCCATTTGCTTCAGTCGACGTCACCGTCGCCCTGCCCACCTAGCAGCCCACCGGTCGGTCCATTATCCTTGACTACACGACCAGAGGATCAACAACCGCCACCTTCGACGCCATCTTTGGTCAAGCAAGAAGACACCAGAGTATCTTCTGCTTCCGAGGACGAAGAAGCTAGGCCAACTGGTCCTCTCCCACCTGGATTTTCATTGGTACCAAGTCCAATGTTTGGACATGGTATTATGTACATGTCCCATTATTTACCACCGCGTGGACCAGCCGGATGTCCGACGAGTATGCTCGACGAAAGGAGAAAGAGAAACCGGACGTTCATCGATCCCGTAACGGAAGTACCTAGGCTTGAAACTTGGTTCACTCACAATACTCATCCGAGCCATGCGGTACGTTTCGACCTTTTATTTCACTACAATATTTTATCATTCACGACATTTTTCATATTCAAGAATAATGAAAATTTAACAATTAATTTATTTTGAAAAACTCGAGAGAAAATTGACCATTGAAGCAATCTTTCAAATTGATGCATTAATCTTGAATAATTATCAAAATAATACTAAATAATAATTCAATAAACACTCGATAAATTTCCAAATCGCAGCTCATTCTCAAGTACACGGAGGAGTTAAATCGGATGCCCTATCGCCAGAAATTTCCACGATTGGAGCCAAAGAACGTGCAGTTTTGGTTCAAGAATCGTAGGGCCAAATGCAAGCGATTGAAGATGGCCCTTTTCGAAGGCGAGGCACCTCAACAGCATCCATATCACGCAGATTAGTTCCTTTAACCTTGATCGCATTCAATTAGAGACACTTGATTCAACGTTGGCTGCGGAAGAAGAAGAAGAAGAAGAAGAAGAAAGAAAAAGGGATTGTGTATAAACGCGAACGAATGTGAAACATGTTGTTATATAAAAAAAAAAAAAGTCGAATGCTCGAATGCACTATTACTTTGAACGCATTGACCCGCTGTCGGCCATCTTTATTGTAACTATATTGCGTAATTATTAATATAATTATCATGGAATTTGATCAATGTAAATACGAGAACGATATCGAATAAATCTGTATGTCACGATTAATCGTCTTCTTTCAGTGATATTTTTATCATATATTCCTTTCAGCAATTTTCATCGAGTTGGAGATTCAACAATTATATAGAGTAAGTACGTTCGAATGCGTTCTTTTCTCTGATAGGAAAGTATACGCGTCAATCTTATTATTGTTACACAAATAAGATAGAGTATATAGGCTTTACAAACTCTCAAATAGAAAAAATTATTGAAATTCCTATCGTATGTTGATATGGTTAGCTAACTTTGAACCCAAACGAAGATAGTCATATGCATATATCTTTCTACGAATAGGTACGTGTCGATAATGTCTTCAAGTTTGTCCTAGCACAAAAGACAACCTCCGACCGAAATCTCGTCCCTAAGATAAGACTACAGGGCTGTCATCGAAACAACCCTAACTCAAGCGTCACGACGATCAATGAATACTTCTCTACAAATGGGAATCAGAGAAACCACCTTCAACTTACAACACATACCTAAACACTGTTAGAGAATTTCAGAATTGTAAGAGACTAGTTCCTACGTGCTTTTATTATTACTCAGAATATAATAATATTATATGAAGTAGGATAGTAAGTATCAAGATTTTTTTATTTAGATTTTCAATCTAAATCTTGAAAGAAGAAAAAGGAAGATCAAGGATAAAGGATAAGTTCAAAGATAAATCTCGTTCTAACCTGGCAATAATAGACGAATATATTGAAAGTTTCTACTTTGCTCGAACAAGTAGTAACGTAGAAAGATGACGAAAGGAATATCGTCGTCAACGATGTATACTTAGAGAGGATAGGTCCTTCTGAATGCCCGTTGAGAGCGTCCCAGATTTAATGAACGTAGGCGGATTTGTCCAATTAAAACGTCTTACAAGGATCCATCTGAAACCGAGGTTTATTTCGTTCACAAAACATCGAATCTCGACTTTGACACGACCCACCTCTTCTTATCCCTCGACTACGTAGGTATTATACAATATATATATATATATATTCCACGGTTATCCCCCTTGTTATCGTTATTGAGTCTTCGTTTTTCGTAAAAAGGAAGAATATTATCGAGAGAAACGGACAAATTCTTTCCTTTTGATTTCATGAAAAGGTTTATGAAAAGACAGAGTGATTTTGTGATCCTACCTTTTCATTTATTTTCACCGTATTTTGACTTTAACTATGGTTCAATAAAAATTCAAATATGATAAATCCTTGTGGACAGGCAATCGAAAAAAAAACGACAGACGGAGAAATCTTAATCTCATGAAAATAAGGAAATCAAAAAGAAAAAGTAGAAGAAGAAGATAAGTAAAATTGAGAGTAACGTCGAAGAAGGGGAAGGGGTTGGTTGGTTGGTTGGTTGGTTGGTTGGTTGGTTGGGTTTCTCAGGCAAAAATCTAAAAGTCAGCAACCTCGGGGGGGATCATCCCTCTATCTGATCTTAATTTGTCAGCTGTTAGGAGTATTTCTCGAGCAGCGCGTTCGCGTCGATGATAAATCGGCCGGGCCGCCCGCGAGCAGCTTATAAACGGTTCTCCATCTTATTCCTAAAGTCCTTTCTTACGAGAGCTGGTCTATTGGGAGACGAATTAATTAGCGTGAGAATAAAAAGATGATGAAGAAGAAGAAGAAAAAGGAAGAAAAGGAGTAGATGGAGGAGGAGGAGGAAGACGACAACGACGACGACGACAACGACGAAGAAGAACAAGGAGAGAGAGAGAGAGAGAGAGAGAGAGAGAGAGAGAATAGGAGGAGTCAATTCTTATCGGCGTATTTCTCGAGTTCAAACTGTGGAGAAATTTTCGGTGGATACGATATGCGAACGGGAAGAGATAGAAAGAGAGAGAGAGAAAGAGAATACGTCTCGTTCGTAAGGGAGCATTGTGTGCGCTTCGGCATTCATAGGACGTTCTTATCTTCCTATCCGGAGAGCTGTCAGCAAAGTTCCTGAATAATAATGGAGCGTGAGAGACAGAAGAAGCAACAGGGAGAGAGAGAGAAAATACGAGGAAAGAGAAGAAGAGGAAGAGCTCGCGGCGTTCACTCCTATCAGCCGGCTAGGATATGCCTAACTATTCTCTTTCAAAGCGCTTGCCGGACGTTTCGCCATAGATAATGTTGTCCAGGATGGTTAGATATTGTTGGATATGAGCGACGATAAGACAACGAAAAAACTCTTTCGTAACCTATATATCGTACATAGCTATTAGGAACAAGGACACCCTTTCGGATTGTTACTAGTTACGCGTCAAATCAATACGAACAACGATACTTAAAAAATCTTGCATCAAGTATTGTAGTCCTTAGCGAAAAGTTCTAGCAAGGTGGAAGAACGTTATCACGGAGGGTCGCCGAGAAAGCAAAGAAAACAAGCAAGATGAAAAGGAGGGAGTCAAGGGAGAGTTAAGAGACTGAATCACGAAGGAGTACGAGAAATCGAGAGTTCGCAAATTAGCCACAGGATTGGCCTCATAATCCTTGAGGGATGCGAAACGTTTATTCCTCTCTGTCTTCTTCTCTCCCTTCATCTTTTTTTCTCAAGGGTGGTAGATGAGGTCGTATAAACGAACTCGCTCTGCGGCCTTACCTTCTTTCCTTCCTTTCCCTTCCCACGTTCTTTCATTCTTTAATCCCACCCTCCTCGAGTTACTAGCAGCGACCGTAGTAAAAATTACGAGCACCGAGAAAAGGATCGGATGAAGAGAGCAACGATTGAAAGTAATGAGCCGTGTGATAGGAGGATCACCCGTGAAAAGAGAGAGAGAGAGAGAGAGAAGGTAGGCCATCTAATCCATAAGTTGGAATTAATTAATCCCGTTAATTTAACACCCAATGGCCAAAGTATCCTTCGGTCAGCCAAGACCATGCGAATTTCACGTACGATGATACGTGGCTTGTATTACATATTTCGGAAAGGAACGAATAAGAAGATAAACTACCAATCGGTAGGTTAAATACCCTCCTTAATTGATCTATAGCGAAAGATTAAATGGATTATATGTTCGTAGTTGGTCCTGAACGAGACAGTTGATTTATTAGAGTCAAACAAACTCGAAGAACATTTTTTTCATTTCTATCGAAAATAAATTATACTTAAAAAAATTGTGAAGAGTATTCTGGAAATATATTTGATCTTATGATAAGTATTATAGATATAGAAAAAAAAGATAGGAGAGTAAATGTAATGGAGTTGAACATTAATAGACAGGGGATTCCCTTAATTGATCTACAGCTAAATATTACGCGATCAGGCGCAACATTAAGCCCAGGAAAGTGGGCAGTTGTTAATCGGTCATTCGGCACGATCTATCGTAGGAGTAGTTGGTAGAGAGAAGAAGGATCATACCACTTAGCTTGCTTTCTCGGCAAAGAGTCTATACTCTTCTCTATAGAAGAAGGATCTTTTCGCGACCGTAAATAAAAGAAATCCTTGTAATGGCTTTTGCCGAAGATCCTCCTCCTTGGTTCGTCCATCTCTCTCTCTCTCTCTCTCTTTCTCTCTAGTAGACCGGTTATTAAGCCCTGAGGCAGGGAGAGAGGCATCCAAGTACTCACCCTACTACGGGGCCCTGAAGGGTGAAACGTATCGAAGGTTCACGTTAGTAGGCTCGCTACGTTCTTGTCCGCTTGCCGGCAGCAGCAACCTCGCTTAATTCCTTAACCCTTATAGACTTTGAGAAAATTTAGGGAGCTCCGTTCTTGGCGAGCCGATGTGGTGCGCGTATAAACTGCCGCGGGTAGGAAGTGGAAGAAGAAGAACCGAGAGAGAGAGAGAGAGAGAACGAACGAGTAGCATGAATACCAGGTGCTCCTGGGATCTTGGCGGCATCTTACGCCCGGACGATACATAATTTATGTCGCGCTCTGCCAGGCTTAAGACAGTATTAAGATCGAGCGAGTACCGACGCGAGCCCTTTACCTCTCTCCCCACTCCATACAGGATTCAACCTTGCTTTTTCTTCTCTCTCTCTCTCTTTCTCTCTCTTCCGGATCCTTGAGATCGAATTAAGTTTTCCCTTTTTTGAATAAAAGAGGATAATCTCGATTACGAATTTTACTCATAACCAGATCAACGTACTCAATCAAATTTTCTAGGATATCCTACAGTTTATTTCAGTTTTCTCTTATAACATTCCTAAGTATATTCCAACAGGGATTGGGTTGATTATTATAAAAGAACAAGTCCTTAATCGGAAATGAGAATTTTGAGAATATACTGAAATATGACTTTTCGAAATTTCCTAGGACTTAGGGACGGTGCCGAAAGGAGATCAGGATTCGATAGCACTGACCTCTTAGCCTTTTTATGGTCTGCCAAACAGAATCCTTCTTCCTACTTCGCGTGTCCTTTTACGAAAGGAAGCAACAAAAGCGAAAGAGAAAGAAAGACAAGAAGAGAAAATGAAAAAAGGAAGAAGGAAAAGGAAAAGCTCGAGGTCGTACAAGCCGAATCGTGGAAGGATCAAGGATATTACGGACATATTTTCTCTCGGGTAGACTCGACTCGATCTTTCTTAGCGGCATGTTTATTCAACGTGGGATTTAAAGCCGGCAAGCATAATAATATCCATCTCACGTTATCACCGTGAACGTTAAATTAACTTTACGATCGTCCTGCGAGTTCGTAAAATTATTATCAAACGCAACGTTTACGAGCATCTTCTCTTAATGCTAAGAAACATCTTCGTATAACATTACAAAATAAACCCATACACGTACATAGATATACCGTTACAAATATATAAATGTATTATAGTAGACCGGTTGTATCAAAATATCTAGATCCTTCGGAAAATTTGACGAGAACAGACGGACGGGAAAGAACCCCGTAGGATTATCGAGGAGAATCCTGTCATCGTCCAGCAAGGGATTTTCCTTCAACGACGAAAGGAAAAAATAAATAAAAAAAAAAAAGAAAGACGGAAGAAGGTAAGAAAAAGAAAAAAAAATAATTGAAAATTTTCAAACGGTCAGAGAGAAGGTAGGTAGAATGGGGTAAAATCTGGAGGTGGG